AATTGACAGTAGGCTTTCTTGAAGTTTTTCTAAAGTGATGCAGAACATATTGGCTTTATTTTTCCTTTTCAATTTTTAATTTTTTTTACTATTGTTGTACTGGGGGTACATTGTGACACTTACAAAAGTTCCTAACAATTTATCATAGTTGAATTCACCCCTGCATCATTCTCCTTTATCTCACATTCTCTTTACATTTGGAACAGACTTACCAATGCCTATCTTAGGAAGAAGTTGTCTTTCATATATCTATCAGTAATTAATTAGCTAATTATTGATAGCATTAATTATGTCTGAGGAAGAAAAGCACAAAACAAAATGTAGATACTGCTTGTGCTTGTCATGATTCTTTCAATCTATGTGTACTTTATCTTTATAATTTTTTGTCTTTTTAACATGAAAGGATTATAGAGGGCTTTGGTCCTAATATGTGATCCATGCTTAGATTCATGATGTTTAATAGTGTATTTTTCTCATTTTTCCCTTTAACACTTAAAAAAAAAACCCTCTATTCATACTTCAGATTTTCTTAACTTTTGACTTGTTATCTTTTTTTAAACAACACTGCTTCAGGAAATGACCTTACATTTAGTGGTCACGTCTCCTTGGACTCTATGAGGCTGTGAAAATTTTTCAGTCTTCCCATGATGACCTTGACAGTTTTGAGGAGAAACACACAATTTTTTCACTCTCTTTAGGTTTTAAAAATACTTTACAGAGAAAGAAGGAAGCAATAAACATACTTTCTCCTTCTGCCTCAAATGGTCTTCTTTACAAATGAAGATTAGATAATGCAAAAGAATCTCTTAATTTCAACAGAAATCATCACAGATTACACTTTTGAGCATGTAGATGAACAAAAGAGTAGCTTCTCACATGGTTTGATTTCATTTATTGAATCCAAGGTTTCAAGAGAAGATGAAAACACTGGGGTAACTTTATTACAGAAAGGTCCAGGGGCCCTCCATCTGCTGTGCGTGGATGTGTTCTGGCTGTTCTGAGCCTGGAGCAAGAGGTTTATGCTGCTGTTTTACTGGTGTGGACAGGATGGGGCTGCTGAGAGAGCAGACTGGCGAGCACCCAATAGCTTATTAAGGCAAGTTTAGGGTCCTCTCCATTGGAGCCTTTTCTGGGTGTTGATTTAGGAAGGGCCACTGGAGAGGAGGAGGCAGATAAAGGGCTGAGGGGACCTCCCTAGATTTTTGAATTACTCTGCTCATAGAAGCTCTCAAGTTGTCTGAAGTCCGGCAGTATTAATGATGTCAGATTGTGTCTGAAGGATAGCTTGATTTAGCAAACAAAAATAAAAGATTCCCAGTTAAGGATAAATTTGAGGTAAATAGCAAACTGTTATTATTATTATTATTTTTTAGTATATGCATGCCCCACTTGCAGACATACTTATGCAAAAAAATTAGTCTGTTGCTTATCTGAACACTAATTGGACATGTTGTATCTTGCCCTACCCCCCACCCCCGTGTGTGTGTGGGGGGTGGGGTGGGGTGGGGTGGGGTGGGGAGGCTACAGAAGGGAGGAAAGGATACATCTGGGCTCAGACCACCACTCTCAGGAGCAGCGCTTTCTCTCTCTCTCTCTCCCTCTCTCTCTCTCTCTCTCATTTGGTGGTACTGGGGTTTGAACCCAGGGCCTGTCTGGCTAGGCAGGAACTCTACTACTTGAGCCATGTCCCTCCGCCTCTTTTGATTTTGTTATTTTTGATATAGGATCTGTGATCTTCCTGTTTATGCTTCCTGAGATGACAAGTGCACACTACCATATCCAGCTTTTATTGGTTGAGATAGGGTCTTGAGAACTTTTTGCCTGGTCTGGCTTTGAATTGCTTTGAATTGCTGTTCTCCACATCTCTGCCTCCTGAGTAGCTAGGATTACAGGTATGAGTCACTACACCTAGAGAGGAGCAGTCCTCTTAATGTGATGGACAAATATGATGTCCCTTATTCTCAAAAGTACCCTATGTCACCACTTTAAGGAACTCTGGGCTTCTTGTATCTCCAAAGCAGCATTCTTTTTGCCTCCTTTTTTTCCTCTTCATTTTGAACAGATACTTGATAAGTCTATAATATAAATGGTATTCTATAACATATAAGAATAGATTCCAGAAAAATCAATTCATCAGATCAGAAACAAGGCAAGCAAAGGTACATATTTCCTACAACCAACTGGTTTCCCATCTCTCTCTCTTTTTTTTTTGCCTGTAAATTTATGGACCAGTGCTTAGTTTTATAACTCTCTCTTCCTCCTATTTAACTTTTGGTTTCCTCAGAAAATTTTCAGATTCCTCAGAATAAAAATTGGACTTTACAAATATTCCTTTGCATTCAATAATTGAAAAATTAAATATAATTATAAACAGTAAGTGCTAGACCATGTTACAGGCTCTGGTAAAACACATGGGAAGAATATAACAAACAAGAATTTGAAACTGCTCTTGACCTCCAGAAAGTGGGGCCTGACACCCTTCACAAGGCACTGGGTTAGGATCTGAGCATTAAAAAGCCTTTGCAAAATAGGATTGATACATTAAAATCTTTTAATGGCACAAACTCCCATTAGCATCAACTGCTGCATAAATAATGTTCATTAAAGTGATTAGAAATCTTAATTTCTTAGCGCAATCATAATCTCCTTTCATCTTCTATGGCAGTATTTTTAAACTGTAGGTTATGATCCATTAGTGGTCATGAAATCAATTTAGTGGGATGCAATCAACATTCAAAAGAACAAAAATAGATTAGAGTAAAAATATTTAATTTCATTGCATATCATCCATGTAAATATTATTTCAAGTCCTTTACTTACAGTTTCTTAGTGCATATGTGTGATTATTTGGTTATGACACAAAACGTATTTCATTTTATGAAATGCCATGTTCAAAAAAGTTGGAAAGAAAAGCTATCCTATAATATGACAAATGAATTCTAGGATTGGCTTAAGGGTGAAGCACAATTTAAAGTCTCACAAATTAGTAAAAAGAGAAAGAAAGTATTTTTTGGGGAAGATGATGGCCACTATATTTTTTACTGGTAATTGGATCACTTGCTCATTTGCTCTAAGTTCAGTTTAAGGTCATAATGTAGTTCATTTCTTCTTGATAGCATGGGATAGTACGTCTACTAATGTGATGACAACATACATAAGTGAGTTCTGTAGGCTCAACCTGCCTGTACCGTTTGTTGACCAGCTCATCTTTGGCATGTTTCTTTTTTGCTCTTTTCCTCAATTTCCTTATCTATAGCATGGAGCTTGTAGTAAATGGATAGTTAAACTATTGTAAAGAATAAATGAATCTATACATAGAATGTACTAACACAATGTTTGGCATACAGCAAGTCTTCAATAATTGTTAGTTATCAATATTATTACTTTTCTTATCTTTGTATGAGAATAGAAAATATCAGAGAGTTATTTGTTTCACACTTTTAGTTTTGACTGACAAAGGAAGAGTGAGGTCCAGAGTATGTTTGTGGTTGAGCTCATACATGGTCCCTTGTCTCTTAATTCTTCTACCCAGTGTTTGTATTTGTAGTTCATCAAAGTGAAATGTTTTAGAGCAGAAGGTATCAGCCTGGGATACATGATATGCTACCTGGGATTATAAATCTCCTGAAGTGTGATCGGAGAGTGGGTGGAGAGAATTCACAACCACTATTGTCTAAGAGGTCACATGTAGCATAGTGAAGTGTTATATACTTCAACCTAAGTCCAGGCTAATAGCAGTGTAGTCTTTAGCAAGTTAGTTAACCACTGTAACTTTTACTTACAAAAAAGTAAGTAAAAAAAGTAAGCTCTTATATCATATAGTTAATGTTTACAATAGTTGTCAAGAGTTCAGCATAGTGGCTACCACGATAGGTCCTCAAGAAAATATTAATAGTGGAAGAAGAGTAGGTAGACTGAGAAATAGAAGGAAATGGTTGTTTTGCTGAGTATTAATTTTGGAAAGCTGAATATCACTGAATTTCCAAGTATTCCAGTTATTCCTCTATTTATGCAATGAAAGTTGATTGAATGCTACCATGATTTGGGGATTGTGTGAGGTGCTAGGAACGTGGTAATGAGCAAGATACATTCTCTACTTTGTAGTTTATAATCTATGGAGACTACAGCAGGTAATGACCAGCCAGGTGATAGATAAATACTGCAATAGATGAACTATGGAGCTTAAGGAGAATGTAGGAGACATTTCTAACCAAGAACCACATCCAACAAGATTTGTGGTTTTATTTTGTCTTACACTGACAGTTTAAATTTTAGAACTGATCAGGGACAACTTTCTTTCCTAGTTGTAACATTGAAAATTATTAGTAAAATGTAAAATACTTAAGGTACTTTAAGGAAGGAATTTGATAAACAGAGCCCAGAGGAAAGCGCTCTTCTCTTGGATGTGGCTCCAAGGGTGAGGCGATATCTTTGAAACATTGGGACTAAAAAATAGGACAAATTCCCACCTTATAAATTACAAGTCCACAACTTAGGTATTTCTGTTTTTGGCTTGATTTATAGTGAGTTTAGAGCTAAATTTACTGCCCAATTATGACAAGTTCAGTAGCCTCATTTTTTTTGGTTTATTTCTTTCTCCTTCTTGATGTTTTTTTGATTTTCAATATTTATTGTACATACCCCCACATATACATAGATGCCATAGAAAATGGTTTTCAAAAATAGTTAAGGTAATAATTATTAAATAAATTCAGGTAACTTAATGTCTTACCTATTTGTCAACATTTTTCTTTATAAAGTTTAATGAGTCTATGGGCATGAGTTGTAGTGTGTTTAAATCTTATGAAATTAAATCACACTACTGCAGATCTAGTCTAGAATAATTTAGTAGCAGTAACAGTATTTTAGAGGAGAGTTCAATAATTGGATATGTCATGGTATCATTTGGGATTATACTCACTAATATGAAACATAAGGTTGGAGTGTTAATCCATTTAAATTATTTTTGCACTCTATGGACATAGAAGCTTTTTTTTTACCTTTAAGTAAAGCTGTCAGGATAGCTAAATCAATGTCCTGGTGTCCTTCTGATCCCATCCGGAATACCGTAATCTGTAATTTGAGACAAGGTGACCATTAGCAAAGCATTTTTTCCCCCAAGTGAAATTAAATCAATGAGACCACATCTGAGCAGAGACTATGTTAATATCTACAAAGTAGATTCTTAACCACAGGGCAAACACATAGCAAGGATTCAATGAGAGGGTGCTGCGATTAATTAAGAGGGAGATGTCTCAGTAGCCTTCCAACAGAGACCACCTTAGATAATTGCATCAATTATGGTGCACTGATGAGAAACTAGAGACCGAGGAAAATGTCCTTTTCTATCAACTTCAGTTTTAAAATCAAAACTTGCAGGATTAATAAAAATATGTAACCCATTCTATAAACTATGAGTTGAGAAATTATTAAAAACATCTAGTGTTCTCTGTAGCAAATAGTCCCACTGTGTGTGTACACAAGTACAATATTAGTATCACCACACTCACTCCTCAGTCATAGCTACCCTATGGTGTCAAAATTGTGATGCTTCTGACCCTTCTGTCCTGTCAATGTCCTTGAAGTTCCTTTAGAATAACTTAGCAGTACATTTGGTTGAAAGAAGTAGAAATGAGACAATATAATGACATCTTTCCTCTTGGTAATCTAGGGGAGAAAAGTATTCTCTAGGGGAGGATAACAGTGAGGGGAGTGACGAGATAGAAGTGAAGAATTAATACTTACAGGAGACTTGGCTGTTGACAAGAGAAAGATAAAGAGAGCCGGCAGACTCATACTAGAGAAGGTGTTGTTACTAACAATTAATACCACTACCATGAACTCACTGTTAGGAATAATCTTTACTTTTATGACACTAGAGAATTCCCCTTATAACCTTAAAATTTGCTGCCATTAAGAGAAAGTCATGAGAAATGTTATTTGAATGCACTCACTACTGGTTGCCAAAGACTTGAGCTTATGTTTCTTGGAGAGATCTTTAGTACTATGGCATCTGAATTGATGTGCTGCAGAAGATTCATTTTTATCTTGTGTTCTAAGTAAGAAGTGAATCTTCACATCAAAAGGGTTATGCTCCTCCCTTTCCCATTTTATAGAATGTTTCTTTGTAGAGAGGAAGAGTGTTCAGGTTTGAGAGACAAAGAGAACCAGCATATGTGCACAGGCAGAATTTTGGAAGAAGAGTTTAACAGGAAAAGGGTCAGAATGGAAGGAAGGGTTGGGGACATGTTCCACACTCATTAATGAGTACCTGACACAGGCAAGGGACATCTCTTCCTAGTTCAAATTGTATAGGGCAAAAGCAATGTGGGTTCCTATCATTAGTTCCCAGTCAAGAACAAGCTACAAAATGATTTTGGAGTAAAAAGGTTGCCTAATAATAAATGTAATGAATCTGCATTATAGATTAAGACTTAATCTTAATGTTAATTAAGATTAACAGACTTAATCTGTTTCAAAGAATCATTTTGTCATCTTCATAATGACTTTATACCTTATCATAAAAGGTATAAAACTTGGCTGAAAAACAGGAAAGAACACTAAGTGGAGTCAAATACTGATGGGAAAATGCAATGTGTTAAATAGGTCAGTCTTCACTAATGAATAGAGAGTGAATTATAATTTCAATAAAAATTCCAAAAATATTTTTGTGGTTTTTAATAGGCTGATTCTGAAATTCATATATAAGGGTCACATTCTTATAATCACTAAAAAAAAAAAAAAAAAAAAAAAAAAACCAAAAGGAAAAAGGAGAGCAAGAAGGGAGAATTTGTTTTACCAGTTATAGTGACTTATAAAACCACAGTTAAAAAATAGTATAGTATTGGTATTGGAATCAATGAATAAATTAATAAATGAGAGTAGAACCCAGAGACATCCCTGAGTACATATGAATATTTGAAATAAGACCAAAAGGGCATTGAAACTCTGTAGCAAGAAAGACGATTTTCCCTCCCTCCCTCCCTCCTCCTTCCTTCTTTCATTCTTTTCTTTCTTCCTTCTTTGTAATATAAGAGACAGGGTCTTGCTACATCCATTACCTAGGCCACTTTCAAACTCACCATCCACCTGCCTCAGCCTCCTGAATAGCTGGAACTACAGGTGCATTGCCATCACAACCAGCAAGATGATTTTTCAATAAGTGTTGTTGGGACAATTTACCTTTCTATATTAAAAACCCAAATTGTTCTGCTACCTCACAAATCGCATATACAAATTCCTCAAGGATTCAAGAGCTAGTAAAGTTAAAACAAAATATTGGAGAATATACAAAAGGAGATTTATTTCTTCCTTTTTTAATGTAATGGAATTCTTGAATTTAGGTTAAAAATAAGATATAAAAAAGTACAGATAACACATGTTCACAGTATTATTTTCATGTTACCTGTACTTTTAATATATCTTCTTAAAAATCCTACCCTTTCTACTTGTTATATACCTTGATTAGGTATACCCTACTTGATTTTTGTGCCCAGAGTCTATGCAACATTTTTGCCTTTGCAGAAAATGCCACTGTATTGGGGCTTCTTTTTGTCTGAGTGTGTTATACATTAACTACATTAACCCTCCTCCATCAGCTCCATCTGTTATTTGATCAATTCTGTCCCCTCCACAATTTATATGTTGAAGTGGGTCTTGATTAGTGATTATTATAAAATTAGTGCCATCATAAAGCAGATCTCAGAGAGTTGCCTTGCCCTTTTTCATGTGAGGACGCAGATAGAAGGTGCCACTTATGAGCTAGAAAGCAGTCCCTCACTTGACACAAAGTATGTGGCATCTTGATCATGGACTTCATAGCCTCTACAACTGTGGGAAAATAAATTTCTTCTGTTTATAAGACACCCAATTTATGTTGTCTTGTTATTGCATCCAAAGTAGACTAAGAGAGACATTTCCAATTAAAACAGTTGTGATTTTAGGGTCCTTCCTATGTATCAGACATAGTGATTCACCTTTTCACATACATTATTTTCCACTCTTTCTAGTTTTATGTAAATGTGTAAAATAAATATAATATAAATAAGGATGAATATATATAAATGTGTAACCACCAAACCATGTATATGAACATTTACATTAAATGCATATGGAAAAATTAAGACTTAGTTATCTAGGTCTAGAACTCCTAAATAGCTCAGCACAGAGGGTCATAGATTTATTTACTAGAGCAGAAGATAGTTTTGAACAAAACAAATGTTAAAAGCACTTTACAGTTTTGTAAGAATTTGGCTCAGTCCTAGGCAAATGTGATTATCACAAAGCAATGCATTGACTAATGCCTATAGAGGATGGCAGACATAACAGGCTGCCATTTTGTCATTTTAATATGCAGTCAATGTATAATGGTTATCCATTGTACGTTATCCATTATATTGTATGACATTTTACAATATATTATATAATGTTATATAATGTATACCATATAATGATTATCCATGTGACCTTGGAGTTGAAAGTATCTTGCAAGTATCTTTTAGTCCATTAGCTAGAGACAACTTGTGGAAGGTCACAGAACAAGCTAGAAGTACAGCTGTGATTGGAATTGTAGTTCTTACCTTTTCATCTTGTTTAAATATTGAGAAGATATGAGGGGAGGGAAGAAGATAGTAGTAGTACTTGACTCTTTTGTAGTTGTTTATGTCCGGAGGCCAGAGCCTGGAATGAGTGTGAGGCAGAGAGTATAAACTGAAATGCTTCTGTTATAGTTTGAATATGAAATGTCCCCCATATGAAGGCTTAGTCCCCAGATGGTGGCACTATATTGGGAGATGCTAGAAACTGCTGTTGATGGGGTCTAGTTGAAGGAATTAGGTCACTAGAGTCATGTCCTTGAGAGCTACAGCTTTCTCTGGCCCTTTCTTGTCTCTCTGTCTCTCCCTTCCCCTGCTTTCTAGCTGCCATGAGGTGAGCTGCCTCCTCTACCATGTGTTCCCTGTGGCTATGATGTTCTGTTTCACCTCAGGCCTACCACAATGTGGCAAGCTGACCATGGACTGAAACCATGAGCCAAAACAAATTTTTCTTCATTTAAGTTGTTTTTCTCAGGTATTTGTCACAGTGATATAAAACTAACACATCTTCATAGACATTTGAACTAAAAAATTATTCTATTCTAATAAAGAATAGAACCGAACAAAATCCATCTGTTCAATATATTTGGATTACAGGTAACAGTTGTGATCTCTGGTAAGACTGTCAGGTGGAGGTATGCCCCAACTCAATTAGATTTGCACAAAGGTTTGCTTCTGCATAACCATAGATCTGCCAAGGTGTCATGTGGACATTGTTCCAAACAGTTACTGATGCTCCCAAAGACTAATCTTAGAAGCTTATATCAGCTATTTTGTGCTCTGAATTGAAAAGAAAATTTGAAGTCCACTGGAGAAAGAGCCCAGGGGCAGAGGTGGCATTTGGGCTAACTCTTTAACTCTCTGCCAGGGTTGGTTATAGCCTGAAAGATATTATCATGTACCGTGCACTTAGTTGGTAGCAAGTTGAGGAGGATCAAGGTAAAATCTGAAGTCATTGGAAGAATTAAGAAACTTGGCATCAAATGAAAGTCCTTAAACATCTGACTTACTTGTTCTTCTGGTGCCTAAACCTTACTACATAATTAAAGATCACATTTCAGATGGAAATTCTTCTGAGGCCACAAATAGACACATTAAATTTACTCTGAAATATATCATTATCAGGCTTTCCTAACAACAGATGTAGATGTGAAGTTGGGGAAAGAAAGATGAATGACTGAAGAGTTTCTAAAGGATTTCTGGGAGAAGACTCATGGAGCCATGTGCTTCAAAGAGCTTGAAATGGCAATGGTATGCCAGAGCTTTCAAATATTCTTGGAAATATGGGGCAGTTATGTCTATGCCCCCTCCTGGTATGCTTGACTTGAAGAACCCAAGGACCTCAGACTGGAACTGGGCGAGAGCAAGGGTGTCTTAAGAGGACAAAGGAGCACTAAGGGAAGGCTGGGGCCTCTAAAGACAGAATTTTATTTTAGAATTTTGCTTTGACTGGCCTGAGATATTTTGCCTTTATCACTA